GGTCGACTCGCAAATTCTGAAAGTGGACTCGCAAATTCTCGCAAATTAGAGGCTATCATTTGATACCAATTTCAAAGTTTTAGGACAACATGGGTGGGCTCCGTGAMTTTGGCCTACCCATTTTTATTTTGCTTGCTGCTCATAAACGGCTAACTGGCCAATTCTAAAAGTGAACTCGCAAATAACTCGCAAAATATTGGTGAAGATTTTAAGTCRCTACTCCAAAGTGGRCGGGYCAACTTCACGCACGTATGGAGATTGGACGAGTAAAATTTATAGTACTAATTGGGTATTGAGTATTGGCCGAGTAGAAATGTAAATACAAAATGGGTACTATACTACTACTATCAAGTATCGACTACTAATTAAATGATTGAGAAATTAATAATTAATAATTAATATTATATAGGTACATAAATATATTTGTATATACACAAAATTTATTTTTGTAATTTGTAGAAGAACAACATGATTTGTTTACAATAAACTGGCTATTGTAAATCAGTTCAGTTATTCCAATATGTATAAAAATAAATTATAATTTATTAATCTAGAATTTTAGATTTTTCCCATTAAATTAATTATAGGTATGCATATATTTTGTATATATATGCATAGGTATGCATATTATACATATTATCAACTTTTGTCAGTTACCGGATATGAGTTGAGTAAAAATGTTGTATTTTGCCAAGTAAACATGTAGGTATTAAGCCAGGTACYGAGTAAGAGTCAAGTCTTAAATATGATATCAGGTACCCAGCCATCAAGTACTTGCTGGCTACCTGGAACATCTCTAATAATGCGTATCTAACATTTTTTAGTGCATATATTTAAATATACACATTTTTTTCCTTGTTTTTTATTTAAGTTCCATGCCCTGCTATATATGAAAAAAAAATTAACATACCAGCCAATATAGAGATGAAACACTTGATCAAACATCAATGCACTAAGCGTTACACCACGATACATTGTACAACAAAATACTCCAATACCAGTACAACATAAAAGAGCAGCTATTAAAGTAGCATATGGTATTCGTGTTGTACATGCCACTGAATTAGTAGCTAAAAAAAATATAAATATAATATAATTCTTAATTAATATTATTAAAACAAAGTGCATTATTAGATATATATATATATATATAGGTAGGTATAAGAGTTTAAATGAATAAATTAAAAAACTAAAAAATATAGAAATTAGAAACTAAAATTTTAAAACCTTAAAAGTACTTGGTGTCAAAATAAAAATGTGAATAGAAAGGTACCGCGTCTCAACAAAATCTGGTTATTCTTGTGCATCCCTCACACCAAACATTGCCTTGTTATCCCCACTACCTGGTATGGAGCTATTCGCTAGAAATGAGCGACAGCAGATTAGTGAGTAAACACATGCCTGTTTATATATGTAGATTGCACACAGAGAGGATTCGATGGTTTGGCAGAGATGTGGAGCTCAGTCTGTATGGGCCAAAAGGTACCTTTCTCTTATGAGACTGACTGTATATTATTTGAATAATTTTATCAAAAAAGTGAATTGATTAAGTTTAAAACTACTTTTTAAAACAGAAATTTAATTCAAACGATGAACCATTGATTCTACCATGKATTTCTGATTTCCGAAATATGATAATAAGAATATGATATGAATTAAAACTTTAAGGCTTTATATATGAAATTCAAACACAATATTGAACACTTTTACACCCAAGGACTGAAAATATATTTTGAATATTCTATAAAAATAAAATGTAATACATATTCACTTACATGCTGCATCACCAGCTCTTATCTTGTAACTAGAATGTAACGAATATTCAGAATAGCGTCCAAGAGTTTCCCTAGAAGGGTTATAATGTGAACTTTGCAAAGGCATCTCCATCTCAGGTCTTTGGAAATTATACTTATTCATAGTTTGAAATGCTAAAACAATCATCAAGAACAAAAATTAGTCAATACAAACAATAAAATACTGATTCAAGTAAAATTTTACCTAAATTAGCAATTATGTATTTCAGAGAAAAATATTTTTAATTTATAAATAAAATATGCTTATATGGTATAATAAAATATTTTATTTAAATTGTAAATTCATAATGATTTTTATAATAATTGATTATTGTTACATGGATTGATGACTATAGAAAGGGGAAATAAGTTTTACTAGGTAAATAATATTAGTTATAGGTATTTACTAGACAGAAATATTTTTATACTATTTTTATACTATATTAATTGAATGTTTCACTTGACTTTAATTTAAATAAATAAGTAAATAGATGTATTTTATTTCATAATATAAAATCTACTTGTACACCTATGTTATTATGTTATATTACATACTGCGGATACCTTTATAACAAACAACATATTTTTTTTTAAATTCATTAACCTAATACATTTTATTTAAACATGTTAATAATAATTTAAATAAAGGATGAAAYAATTTTCACTTAATGAATTTTATTTTTTACGTCATCTAAAGTTAATACTAATGAATTCATTATTCAATGAATTATTGTAAGTCTGTTATTTTAACCAACGACAGGTCGGAATGCAGATTGACTGACATTTCAAATATGGGCAGGTAGGTACAAAAATGAAAAAAATATTTTTAGATTCTCAGAAATAATATCTATACATCAGTTTTAATATAAGGTATGCAATTTATATAAAAATTACAGTAGGTATGGACTAAGGAAYAATATTATTGATGTTCACATAACCTATACAGTTGCGGTTGTTTACAATGMTACTCAATGAACAATCACAAAAATATATCTCACTGGTATTTTATTAGAAAAACATAAACTATAAAAACCATTGAATATTATTATTCCGTATTCAATGTTTAACTAATTGATCGTGTTATATTTTATACTTACGTCAATTAAACAAAACTGATCATAACTGCTGCTGAACAAAGATTAAATGGCTGAATATGGAACAATTTGGAATGTAATTATAACTAAACTATTAAAATCAAATGAGGGTAAGACACACAATTAATAGGTTAAATTAAAATTGATGTCGACAAAACAAACGATAAATTAGATTCTGTTAATGTTACTAATTTTACTGTTATCAAGTATCATTTTGTTAAGACAAAAAAAGTAACGATGACAGGCTGGGTCGGTGGGCGGTGATCATTAAAAGTGAAAGTGATCTGTTGRAGGCTTGGAGGTAAATTTAGTGCTGAAACTAAGTTTCTCGATGAGCGGGTTAGATTGTTTTCATCAAACCGACCTAGGTAACTGACAAAAATTAAGCAAATAAATTTAGTGATTCAATTTAAAAAAAATGTATACCTAGGTAGTTATTTAAATTTGGTAAATAAGTTTACTTTGAATCGGTCGAAACATATTTTAATTTAAATATATTTTATATTTAAAATTAATATATATAGTTACCTGTAAAAGGCAGTAGCAATATAGTATAAATTATCTGTACAAGTAAGGAAAGGAAAAATAGCTTTTAGTTTAAATATTATTAACTTGAAATTAAAATAAGCCTTTGAAAATGTTTGGGATAAAATCATTTTATTTTTCAATTATTGTGTGAACCAATGCCTATATAATTTTGAAAATTGTATTTTCTATACTATATCAATTTTATTATAAYACAATATATGTAYATTAGGTAATTAATAGGTAGTACACGAATAAATAATAAATAAAGTATTACGATTTTTATACGAATTAATGCGGCTATTAATACAGTTTGTTGGCTAATCATCTTAGCCTCTTAAGAATTAAAGCCTGCAGTAAAATTTTAAATAAAAAAGGTGAGTACCACTTTTAATTTTTATTTTCTTGACGCTTTCTAAAACTATTTGGAATTTTCAATTTTAACCTGCTCATGTAGGATGAGGTTCGTCAAACGACTGGACTGTCGTATCACTYGTGACCTTGTTTTAAATCTTCAATCTTTTGTTTATAAATCTTAAAATTTTTATAAATTTGTAATTAGAAAATTATTTGTAGATTTTCGAGATTTTCGAGATTTYGATGAAGTTTATCAAATTTTGTACTTATTTTCTTATAAAAAATCGTACCTATATGTATCTTTAATATGTTATAATTGCTAATAACAACTTGATGGGAACCTTGTATTAAATTTTCAAACTTTTTGATGCAATTAAAAAAATGTTAATAATATTTATAAAAAAAAAATTAATATTAAAATGACTATAAGTATTTTAGCTCAAGACGAGACAATATTMTTTGTAAATTTTATCATGTGTAAAAAATTGACATTCTGATGACAATTTTAAGTAGGTATATCTACAGCTATTTGTTATGGAATTAAAACAAAAATAAGACAATCTTTCTATGGAAATTCGGTTTTTAACACCTAAATAGCAAATGTCAAAAAAAATTAAGCTTCAACCATCAATCGAAGCTCACTAAAAATTAATTAGACTTTCGGGTAAACTTTTTTTGTTTAAGATAAGAAAGCTTATGAAAAATTGCATTACATTTTAAAATCTTAGATGTAAAAACCATTTTTTATGAATTTCTAACTTAAAATAATTTGTGAATATTAGTAATTTTTCAGAGATTTCCGTCAGAATTATCACTTYAGACTCTCATAAAACTCATTTTAATCTAGAGATATTTTTTTATAAATAATCATTTAAAAAAAATCTAATAAAAATTGAATTTTTCTTATAAACCGMTCAAAAAGAAACAAATTATGTGCTGTGTATAAAAAATGGTGATAAAGACATTCGGTGGAAATTTAACGGTTATTAGTTTAAAGTTTTTTTTAAAACTTAAAAAGATGCATAATAAGTTTCACGGTGCATGGTGCATCTGTCTGGTTGCTCGGTGAKCTAAAAATAAATTAAAAAGTGATAATGTTTTTTTATTTCTTTCTAATATCACTCTGACACTTTGTAATCTGCAAGATCAAACTATATGTGAATATTAGAAAATATTTTATAATTTAAATATATAATACTATGTTTTATGCAGTGGCCAATTTAGGGAGAGGGGCGAAAGGGGCCCCAAGGCAAATGCCCCAAGCGATACATTTTAGGGGTGTCTAAAAGATTTGAACTTTTGTTAACGATGTTCATTATTTTTTTTTAATTTTCACACCTTTTTCGATATTCTTAAGTATTAAAAAAAAAATATTGTTGAGCATCTAATTAGAAATTACAAAAATCATTCTATATCTAGCCATTTGGGTAATATTTAAATAGCCTAATTGGTAAATATTTTACATTTATTATTCGACAAAAATTCAAGATATAATATTTTCGTTCAATGTTTATAATAAAGGTAGCCGGATACGCAAAAAAAAAAAACACGACATATCTATTGTTAATCGATGTATTGTACTATTGTCTATTGTGCATATAATTATTATAATAAGTGTTGATTCCGTTTTCTGAATGTAATTAAAATAAAATTTAAATATATCAACAATTAAAATGCTAAACTGAAAAACAAAAACGTATATTAATATATATACATATATATATATACACACAGTGGCGTGCCCAAGGGGGGTGTTAGGGGTTATATCCCCCCCATTGACTTTTTTTTGTTGACTTCAACTTATTAGATATTAAGTATTACTTTTAATTATCAATTATTATAAGTTATTGCTCATTGGCTATTGCCTATTATAATAACATTCACTACCTATACGGATTGTAGTCTGTAGATCAGTGATCATGTGTTACGTTTACCTCTAAGTAATTAATAATTAATTATGTTTATGGTAAGATGGAATCAAGGTGTATTGATACACCTTGGATAGAATGATGGATCATGGTAATCACGTAAACTAATAGTATAACTTACTAGTATAAGGTCTATGGGTAAATCAGTGGTTACTAATCACTAATCAGATATAAATTATCAGCTACTTCAATGACCAGTTCAATGACCAACTCTTAGATGAATTAGTTACTTCAACAAATAAAACAGCTGAAGATTTTTATAGATTGAAAATATATGTACCATTCTTGGATAATTTTTTATCGCAGTTACATGATTGATTTATAAAACATAATAAATTATTGCAAAGTTTTAGTTGTAGGTATTCTACCTGGCTAAAAAATTCATTCAGGAACTGATCAAGTTATTAAATAMCTCATTGATACTTATCAAGAGGATTTGAATAACAGTAGCTTAGTTATAACTGGAGRATTTTATTTATGGCAAGAAAAGTGTAATAAGATTCATGTTTCAAAAAGCGCTCTTGATGTATTTGGTGAATGTGACATAATGATATTTCCGCACATACACAAATTATTAAAAATTTTAATAACCCTACCAGTTACTACCGCAACTGGTGAACGGTAATTTTCTACATTAAAGCGTTTAAATACTTATTTAAGGAATTAAATTGGACAAGCAAGATTAAACGGCTTAGCTTTGATGAACATTCATAGAGACATTGAAATAAATACAGATGAAGTCATTAATGAGATGAGTACAAAATCTAGGAGGTTAAATTTCCGTTTGGAATAATTAATTTGTTTTTAAAAATTATATTTCTTTTGTATATTAAATATTTTAATAAAGGTTATAAATGTTTTTAGTTTAATGCTGTCATTTAAAAAAACAATAGTGTATAGTGTATGGCTATTTAAATTAATTCTAATGATAGAACAGTACCTACTCAATATGCATGAATGTACACATGTATAGCAATTATTGTGTTTGCCATAATTAATTTAAATGTATTTTTACTTAAAAATTTCTAACATATATCCCCCCCCCCCATTGAAAATTCCTGAGGTACGCCACTGTATACATATAATTTTATTATAAATAAAGTGTTGTAACAACTTACTCATCTCTACTTTCAATCACCCCGTGTGTGTATTAATATATGAAAATTATAAAAGTTTAGGCATCCTTCCACTTATTTTGAGTAATTTCGACCTCTGGTTGTAGGTAACAAATAAGTTGCCACGATTTATATCGTATACCTACTATATAGATGACCGATTGACAGATAATATACATCTGATAGACATTTTTTACTCAATAGGTATTTCTGATTATATAGATTATATGGATAACGATTTAACAATGCGAGGTCATTTCTAATTTAACAAACAAATAGTTGATTTAACATGAGAAAAAAAAATACATCATTCTAAATTCAATATATTCATTGCTCCACTCAGAATTTTAAGTATAAATATTAAAGATTAATTAGTTCTAATCTTCATGATTATGAGTCATAACATAATCCAACAATATTTTATAACTAAAATAATACTTACCAGTTACCACAATATAGGCTATAGGCTCCACATATAAAGGCCAAGGCAATTAAGGTTACCAAATAATAATTTTAATAATATTGAATTATACCATAACCGAACTTCATGTTCAAAGCATTTTTTCTGATAGGAAAAGCATCTTCAGACATAAAAAAATAAAAAAAATAAAAAGCACACATAATTGCAATGGCATAGGATGAAGGGGAACTAAGGGGACTATAGTCCCCCCAATTAGTGGTTCAGTCTCCCTAGGTTAGGTTAGTTCTCTTTTATCTAAGTCTAATAGTTTATGCTTTTAAATTAACATAAAATAGTATGTACTATACTACTTTAATATTACAATCATATATTTTGTTACACTAACTACCGAGCTGAGTACCGGCCATTGCTGATTATCGAAAACAGACGATGCTTGGCGCCGTGCAGTGAAAAGAATGTTATCGTCAAATTGCTGAATCTAACCTAACAACCTAGCAGCTGATCGTTCAGTAATTATAAAACAAGTACAATTTCTGTAGTCCTTATGTACAAAATGAATTAGTAAATATTTGTTCAGATAATGTAAAAAAAGAAATTGTCACATAAAAAAAATTGGATTTTTTGCTATCACGGTGGATCATGTTAGGATGTTAAAATTTTAATAAATCTTGTTATTAAATTAATTTTTAAAGATAATTTTATTAAATTTTAGGTGTCATARACAAGAATTTATGTATACCTATATGGGTTAGATATAAAAAAGGTCTAGAAGTATTGGGAAGATTTTTAAATTATGATAATTGTTAAATGAATACATTTCATTAATCATCGCAGGTATGAACCCTGCTCATAATCTAAAATATACTGAATAATACTTATCGAGTACATACCTTATGATCAATTTAACGTAAGATATTAATTATTTCAAAAACAATAATAGAATTTCGTTTTTCCGTACAGCACAAATATAAAGTTTAATAATCTTTATTTTTGTTTAAATTGAAAATATTCAAAACATTGAACTATGAGAGGAGTTGAGTAATTGATACAATGATTTACGATTTACGATACATCGTTATACTATATTTCTACGCGTTATATTGCAACTGGTTCGTTCATTGCTGATGTTATGGGTGTATTCCACGATTGTATTTTGCTATTCCCGAACAAGACGAACGGACTGAGACTCACAATGAGTATTACGCTCAAACTCCAACATATTTCGTTCCATGCCATCTGATCGGAAGAATCTCCTATGATTAAAATGAACGCTATGTGAGTAAGGTTCATTGCTAGGCTGCCGAAAATATCGCCAAGCGCCGTGATAACAGCCACAAAGTTTGGAGCCATTTCGATCTGACTGACCCGGAAACCAGAGAACACAGAACCAGATAGGGAGTACGATACTACTAGAAAACTGTAGAATATGTAACTATTCGGTATAGCCGTGGCGACCGAAAGTAGAACTGCTGGTACTGCCATACCGATACAACTAAAAACCTAGACAAAAAAATKACACATTTGATCATTCAATAATACTTTTTATCAAGCAATAATACCAAATAGTTGTTATTTTATAGTTATATTATTACTTATTACTATAGGGTTCGGATTTGAAGGCAAATGCCTTTCTTTTATTTAACATAATAGAAAAATAATTTTTATACAAAAATGTGTTTCATTTAATTTCTTAGACGATGGATGCATTTTTTTGCCTTTTTACTTATAAATGCCTTTTTGCCTTTTTTTACCTTTTGTACTTATAAATGCCTATTTTGTGATTAATTTTTTCAGTTGATTTTATAATTTTATACACAGCTTGCGTATTATCGCTACTAATGTGTTTTATTATTCGCAATATTTATAAAAATATTTTAACCCCTAACCGTAGCCGTTTTACTGAAGACAGCCTATAAAAATACATGGTAGTCAATTTTTTTTTTAATACTAACTAGTTTATTTTGCATGCAGTTTTAATTTTAATTTGTATTTTTCTCAAAATGTATGCAATTGAAAGTGTTTAAAAAATGTTCACTTTTTTATTTTGTAGTATATTTATGAATTGCCTTTTTATATCAATTAAATGCCTTTTTTTACATTTTAAATGCTTTTTTTTATTGATTATATTGCCTTCAAATCCGAACCCTGCTTATTAGGTATACAGTGTGACATATCAGTGGGCCACTAGATTACCTTTGTTAAGTTTTTTTTTTCATGTTACAGGCATTGCAAGTTGGGTTATACTTAGTAGTTTCTATCATTCAAATAAAAATAATAATGCTATAGTATGTATTTATTTTTTTTGTGCGTATTATAGTTAGTGGATCTAGATTCCATATATTAATTGGTACGATGAATGCCGCGACAGATGGTGGTAGGTACCTACGTTATAATTGAGCATACAAAATATAATTGTCTATACCTTTTTTAACAAATAATAAAAAGAGTTTTATTCTCAAATGACCCGTAGTCAGYATTCCGATAGTGGTTAAAGTTATGTATATGTCCCTTTAAAAATCGTTCCGGTTGCATTATCTAATAATTTGTTGGAAAATGAAAAGGTACTTATATATACTTTATGCAGAAACGGATTATATGCGAAGGGTGATTCATTTTAATTTTACTTTTCTGATAGCCGAGACGTCCATCCATTTTTTGGTTTGGATCAGCGATGCAAATCTCCCGGCTATGTACATGACGACCATCTGGCCAAGTGGCGGCAACATAGACATGAAACCGTTGTTTGCGATATCGACTTTCATTGTGTACTTAAGATAGACGGGCATGTACATGATGAGGACCACGTAGAACACAGTCGAACCGAAATTTGCTAACATCACCGACCAAACGGGCAATGAAGTGACGATTTCTGCCCATGGCACCGGAAGCTGCGCCTTGGGGTGGACGCTAGTGGTTAAAAGCTCGAGCTCGGATGGCCGGACGCCCGGATCGTCGGACGGTTGATGGTAGAACATCATAAACCAGGCAACGCTCCACGCCATGCATACTGTCTATATTGAAATAGTGTCCGATGATATAAATATCACGAAAATATTACTTAGATAGCCAAGATTTACGTTACGGCGAGTATTAATAAATATTGTGGTTATTTTATATAATTATTTATATTTTAAAGAATAGCCAAAATCTGATACTGAACAGCTCTCAACAAATAAAGTACTTAATTGAATCATATTTTCTTAATATATTTGTATTTAAATACTTATTGGACAATTTATTCAAACATTCGTTCGTAATAAATTTCATAAGTATTCTCTAACAATAACGGTATAATAAATAATACCTATAACCATTAATGAATGTAAAATTGTAAACATTGTAATATTGTATGAAATTGTAGGCTGAATACCTAAAACCCTTGGGTGTGCTACTGTTAAGCTCAATTATTTGTATTTTTATGAATAATATATATTTTTATTATGTATATCGCCTATGGCCTATTATAGTACCGCTTTGGTTGACAGACTTAATATACATAATTATATACTAACGGCCATGCCGAAAAAGCTGTATTTGAAACTGGAACCTTGGACCGCAGAGTAGAATAAGCCGGTAAACATGTTTCCGGCTACTATGCCACTGGGTATACCGGTATTTATGGTGGCATACATGTACGCCAGTTTTTCGGGCGGCGCCCAGTTGGACAGCATAACGTTCATGAACGGCCACCATGAACCGGCCAGCGCGCCGTTGACGGCGTAGAGAGCACCGGTCACTAGGGCGGGGATGGCCGATGACCAGGGTGTCCAAGACCACGACGAGAGGCCGGTCAGCGCGAATGGTGAGATGGCTGAAGAGATTGCCAGTCCACCAACGATGGTGGCCAGCATGGTCACCGAGTTCAAACGATCTGCGAATAGGCCGGCCGGTAGCTGGATGATCAAGTACGCCACTTGGTAGATGACGTTCATGGCGGAATATGTGTTACGGGCACCGGTCGCACTTACCACCATCTGATTGGTGTGGGTCCGACTAGCCATGACTAGGAAGACGCCAATCAAGAGTGCCACCATTACTTGGTAATGGGACGATATAAACCGTGTTTGGTACGTCATTGCACTTGTGGTTTGTATAGCTACGCTTCAGTACACTATGATCCACTATTCTCCGCGACAGTATGTGCGGACAGTTGCCTAGATTGTTCTGAGTGTTGCGAATGTGGCAAAAAAAGAACTATTTAATATCTAGAAATAAGAGCGTGTTTTATAATAGAATATAACACTAATTATGAGTTTTCGAAAATTAATTCACGTCACGACGTTTGTGTACAATATAACACCTATACGCGTTCTTATAGCAACGAGCTGATTTCAAATGCTTACGTGTAGTGTAGGCACAACGAGTTGAGTCAGAAAAAAGATAAGTGTGATAAAATGACCTAGGAAGTAAGGGCTGATGTAAAAATTAATTTAATGAATATATTAATACGGACATTGGATTTAGACTTTTGCTTATAAGCTTATAATCTTTTTACCGAAGTTCCTTATTTAGTTCCCTGTGAATAATGTATTTAAGTGATATATTTTGTGAATGCAGTTACTAATTAGCTAATAAGGATTGATTTGWTAGTATGACCACCGAGGAGCAAGATGAAAGGTAACATAAGACTCTGCAGAGAGTCAGCCCGAACGGGCAGTTCGGTGAGTTCTAGTGGAAAAAATGGGGTGGAACAGAGATTGGACATATTGTATGAGTCTATTGGAGGATCCACTGATCAATGTTTCTCCCCCTTCAATAGCACTAAAGGTGGACGAAGTTCATATTATAAGATCAATAACAAGATTCCAGTCTATAATTGGCACATACATCACCAAGCTATGAGAAGGATGACATGAACGGGTAACCAGGGCTACTGGTCTAGGATACCGGGCCCGCAAAGGTTCATTGTCAGATAGAGGACTAAAACAAAAGCGAGCGGCTGCAATCGGGTTTTCCAGATCAATAAGTAGAGTACTGGAAATTTTCAACTTTGGTTTCTCAAATTTCAAGTCAAACCATCCTCAAAATTGAAAATCGAAATATGTTTACTATGGCTTTAGGACGAATAATAACAACATACATTATTGTAAAATTAATACTTTCATCACGTCTCGCCTACAGAACCTAAAATTAAAATAATATTATTTCAATTTGCTCAAAAATGTTTAAGGTTTGCATAATTGAATGACAATTGAATAATATATATATCTAAGAATTCGAATGCTAAAAAAATACATTTTTTTTCACTGCTAATTTTGATCAGTTTTGAAATGGTTAGCAAATTACTATGAGTCAATCATATTTAAATTAAAAAGAATAACTTTATTATTCATGATTTAAAATGTACACAATTGCTAATAAAAAAATATGTATTGCCAAAAATTTAAAACTATTTTTCGAGTTAAAAAGTATTTATTAATAACAAAATTATTTATAATACATATTCATTAATACAAATAAAAAAAATATATTTCAATATATTTCTCCGATGTTTTACAAGACTGACATCATTAATGAGTCTATGATACAAAAATACCTTTACACATAGATAAGGCTACTGGCTAACTATTTATTATGAATAATTGTTATCAACTGAGTACTGATGATTAAGGCAGTAACTAAATAGTGAAGTAAAATTGTTGTTTTTAATATATATAAATAAATAAATAAATAAATAAATGTTGAGTTTTGACCACTGTTTATAATTTAACATTTAATGTTATCATGTTTTATAAATTATTGGCATATTACAAATCAGTGTCGTAGCTAGGATAAGGTGCTATATTTAGTCCTTAAGGAGGCTCATAGTACTAATTTAAGTTACACGCATGAAATATCGTAAAAAATATAGGAAGGTACTTTTCTATAGAATGATGTTATCTAGAGTAACATTTTGATTTTTTTGATTGAATTACTTTTTACTTACATAAAGAATCGTATAGATACGATATTGAAAATTAAATAGAATAATGGATGCTCTTTTCAATTGCAATTCCTTACTACGACACTGTTACAAATAAAAACATATCAAGTATAAAACTAAATTACGATTGTACGTATATAAAATACATTCAAATGTTCATTAACACTGAACTTGACTAAGCAGTTAAGTTATTACTATTTAACCTACGCTTAATATTAATACAGTAGGTACAAAATTACACAATGTGTATAAATTTATATAAATTAATATAATAAAATTGTTACTACAAGGGCCCAAACATTGATAGAAATTAAGGAGATATTTTTTTTTAGTTATGAATTCATACTTTAATTCACGCTCATATAAAAAAATTTAAATTGTTAGATTTATCTAAAGTAGGTTATTTCAAGATTGTTGTAAGCTCAAACTAGATAACCTACATAAAAAANCAAGATTGTTGTAAGCTCAAACTAGATAACCTACAAAAAAAAAAAAAAAAAAAAAATGCACTGTTCAATTTTAGTTCGGATTAGTTCATAGGTTTGTTAACGTCATCAGATTTAAAAAAACGAAATAATAATACTATTAAAATAAAAGACCGACAAAACCGTTTGTTTTATGGTGGGCTGAGCTCTGTGAACAGAATAATATAATAATTTAATGAAAAAACGTTCGATTTGCAAGGGAAGAGACATAGAAAAAAGTCGTAAGTCGCGTATGATACAATTATTCGTTATTTTCATTGATAATAAAATAAAATAAAGTAATCATTTTATTTTAAAGTGATATGGGATGCCAAATGAATCACGATTGTATAAGAGTGATGATCCGAGTGAAATTGAGACGCCCCACTCTCCACAAGTCACGAGATACGATTAACGGATTAAACATGCTAAACATATAATTGTATTCGCGTGGTATTTTTGACAAAAAGTTTGGTATTTGTGATACAATTGTAGTTCAGGCCGCAGGGCACATAATATAGTTATAAATTATAAATTAAAATGTCTTATATTATATAGGAAATGACGTGTGCGCACTGCGCAATAAATATTTATAGATAAAACAGTAATGCGCCTGCGCCGACATATAAATAATATTATATTATAATCTTATTATTATACTATAATTTTATAGGTAGGTAGTATAGGCAATAATGACTGTGGTATCGTATCAACCACGGTGCACGCGTTTCGGTAGTTTGTATATGCCGAACGTGACCAGGTTGGCGACCGGTTTGGACAACTCCATGTTGATCTCTAACATTTTCCTCTTGCCGATCATCACCGTCCGCTTGCTGAACGTGTAGTAGTCGTGGGCCAGCGGATAGCTACTCGTGTCCAACGTGCTGGGTATTGGCAGCGTGCCGAGATCCGGTGACCGGGCGGCGATCGTGATACCSGTGATAGTGACCAGATCCTTGGGAGGGTCGTAGTACACGATGGCACCACCGTAGTGGCCGGCGGCCGCTACACCCGGCTTGTACGTGGTCAGGCCGCACGTTTCGATGTGCGCGTCCACGAAGCCGCTGAACGTTCTAGTACCGGAGTACGCGAACATGTTGTAGTCCGTCGTGTCGTTGTTGTTCTCGTTCCGCCAGCGCACCGTCATCGCGCACTCGAATCCATCGTGCTCGTACTGAAACGACGCGGAGAGCGTGTCGTCATGTTGTTCGGCTTCCGGATCCGCGGACCGCATGGTCACCACGTGGAAGTCCTTGAAGCTGTTGTCCACGAAGAATCTGTTCAAGGGTTTTAGTTGATAAAAAATAAAAAATAGTATTATTCACGGGCGGGAAATCCCTGTACACAATATACACGGAAGGTATACTGCGTGCTCGAAGGTTCCATACTATTATAATAAGTTACAATTACAGTTTTTACTTTTTACCAGAGCATATTATTATTGTTATCTGTTATTCTCTTCGATCACACTTTAATAGAAGCGTGTAATTTCCATGTATATTGTTTTCTATATTTTGGTTAGTCAGTTAGGTTAGGAATATACATGCCAGGTTGCTTGAAAAATTGGTTAACTTAATGATTCAATAAGATTTAATGGACCAATCATGGACTACTAAATCATTTTTAAGAGACCAATACAATATATGTTTGGTGATTTTCCATGCTACCCGGCATTATCGACATATATTTTCATTCATAGCGTATGTGGGCTGATGGATATTTTTAAGGGTGTCGAAGCTTGCTATATTGGGGGTAAAAAATTTGGGCAATTTTAAGTTACGTTGCATCATGGTGGCCATAGAGTTGGCGTTTGTAACAGGAACAAATCTAATCAAACCATTTTAGAAGTTTTCCTTTCACAAGAAAAACGATTAGACCTTCTCATAGAATAGTCGGAATTTGATCTTTCTTTTAAAGAAAACTTTATTCTGGTCATCAAACTGGACTTTGGTTTTTGAATGAACTTAAAATAATGGTATAGAAAAACACATTTCATAATAGTTAAACATTTTCAATTACCTATGTTTAGATGCGTATTATATAACTTCAAAAAAAATGATGAATTTAAAATCTTAATCTAATACGAACTACATAAAATTTCATCTTTCAAACACACAATTATAAGCTTCTTTTCAGGTTACCCCAAGTACCCAAAACAAGCCCAACATACGCCACAATGATTGTAATAATGTAATATGTATCGTTTTGAATGTAAAGAAATATTGTATTATATAGATCTGTAATATCAAACTGACCTAAAGTCACTGGGCCGGTTTTTATTTGGTGGTGAATTTTCTTTACCATAAGGCAAGACTAGGTTATCCGACATAAATGTCTGATAGTTACTATCGATCGAACATTTCTTTGATTGAGTATCACAGTTGTTATATTTTCTTTTCAACACTCTTGACAGTATTATTTGAGTGCCAGGTCGGTCAGGCATAAACATGACTAATGGTCCGTCCCGACCAGCATAAATACCACTACCTCCACCACCCATCGATGGAGCGTTGTAACTAGCTGCTATAAGATTCACGTCATTGGTATATGCCCAGCCGGCTTGCACTGAATCAGCTAAAACATTATTAACCCCCCTATTATTACAATGTGAATAGGTAAAAGTACTTAAAATACTATTTTATTGTAATTACAATAAGTTATAAATGTTTGTTGTTATTAGTTTTGGGAAGTTTTATTTGTAATCCCTCAAATGACGTGACATACATATTTATCAAAATTGTTACGAGTACCTTACGTACTCTGTAGACAATACGATGCATAATTTATGGTATAAAAATATTATATTATAATGACATATTGATTATTGGTATGGTATACATCAAGTGTATGTACCCATATTGTATTATTTGTATAGTATTTTAATATAAACAAGATATGGCAATGTTTTAAAAGTATATTGCCTCTAAATAATATATTCTAACCTGTAAGCAGAGGAATTTCTGAAAACCAAGCCGTTGAAAATATTACATCTTTAACGCCTGTTTCACGAATAAGCCGAGCTGCGGGATCTTGAAATAGTATATCGAAGCATATAAACATTCCAAATCGCACTCCGAAATCAGTGTCAAACGTACAAAGTTCTGATGAGTGCGTATGATTGAATCCTAATTCTCCAAATAAATTAAATTTTCTATACCTAAAAATCGAAATTACCAAATACATTAAACATGTTTTAAACTATARAAAAAATTACACCATATTCTAATATTTATTACCTAGCTACAATTCTTCCTTCCCTATTAAACACAACGTTTGTGTTATAAAAATTTGCTAAATCTTCTGGACACGAATAGTCTTCTTCTCTTTTGCAATACTCTACTTCTGGTAGATTTACTACCACATACATATGATGAAGTCTAGCCGCACATGAYAGTTTATTCAACACCTAAGAATAAAATTATTATTAGTGGCTATACAATTATAAAAATTATAACAATCAGTATAAAAATATTAAGTTATTTTAGTATTTATTTCGAATTAATATAGCTATATATCAACATCTAAAGGTAGGTACTTACCGTGCTGCAATATTCAGTAAAACATGGAATAGTGTTACTTTCTGGGGAAGGAATCTCTGTTAAAAATGTTTTAATTTGTTTTCGATCATCAGGTAAAGTAACTCCGGTCAAACCAGCTTCCGGGAAAACCAATATATCAACATCCTGCAATATAATACAATGATCACAATTATATAAAATCATTAGATAACTTTAATTTATGCTGTAATTATTATAATGCAATGGGAATAATTTCGGTACGATTGGAATAAGATAAGTATATAATTAAGTAAAATTACAACCGGGATAAAATCCCTTTAAAATACCTATCTATGTCCTATGTGGCTCACTCAGAGAAAAGTGTAGTAGGATTAATGAAAAACGACTGTAAATTTAAAGAAAAAAGGTGATGATTTCGAGCCTATGAAATTTYATCATAAAAATAAATCAATGTACAGATTTAATTTAATGAAATCATATGTTTTCAATAATAACACATTTATCATTGTTTCAATACATATGTATATTATTTGTAATAAGAAAATAATACTTTTGGAAAGAAGAAAATCAAATCATTAAATTAAAAATAAGATACATTAAATTAAATTTTCAACTATTATTATTTTAAAGACATTTTTACTTGTAATAAAGACCTAACGTTTTTAAGACTAAGAAAATCTTATAATTAAGTTAAAATTATTTAATTTTAACTAATTATTCAATTTTAATTATTTTAATAGCTCTTTTACTTAAAACAAAAATATATGGTCTATAAAAATAAGGAAATTAAATCATAAAAACAAAAAAGTATTAAAACCAAGATATATTTTAATCTGAGTGTATGTATATAAATAAATAAATTTAGTTTCATAAACACTGAATTATACATGTTGCTACTAATTGTTATTATAAAGGTACCAAAATACCAAATCAATACTTATTTTAATGYAGAATAGAGAATTATTCGGATAAATTCTTATTTAAATAATCGTCTGAATAAAATTGTAATCAATCAAATTCGAATAATTTTGAAATACAATTTATGTTCAATCAATACGACAATTTGACAACTGTCGTATTGATAATTAATTATTWGATTCTATTTTCTTATTTATACGTCCACTTTAAAGTTTAAACTTTACTTACATATTGACTAGCATGGTGAATAATATCCTCATAAATTGGTAAATTGTTCTGCATTGACTGCAAAGGATTGGAACCCAAATTTGGGTGGTACTCAACGACAGCCGCAATGTAATATTGGCTGTCATAACCTTTGTTTTTAGTCGTCTCATTTCCGCTAACCATTAGTGTCAGCTTTAAAAATATACATACAAATTATTACAATTACAATTAAAAAATAAAATATTATCATACAGATGTTGTCGTTTATTATAATCATGGATAATGTTAATAATATTATACAGTCATCTATGATTATAAAGGTATATATTTCACTTATAATATTAATATGTAGGTAGTTATTATTTTGATTAATTCAAAATTGAGAACAAGCAAATATAAATCTAGAGTAAAAATGTCCAAAGGAAAATATCCGGGTTTAAAGTTACTTAAAATAAACTGTATTTGGCAAACTTGTTTAGAATAAAAAAATAAGATAAATGTACARATGAAATATTTTATTATAATGCATACATAACAAAAATGTATTTACCTAAAACATAGATTTTAATAACATATACGCAATTAACATGCTTTTTTTAAGCAAAGCAAAAAGTAAAATATTTAGTAATAATAAAAATTGTCTTTACCAAATATTTTATTATAACATTTTAAATAMAATATCTTGTTAAAAAAAAAGAAAAAAGAAGAAGCAGTTAATCAATACAAATATGTCATATTATTTAAAATGCAATATGGCCAATGATATATTTTTTTTTWAATTGCCCATACTTTATTCATATTTTTATTATATTTTTATACTCTACACACATTTTTTATTTTGAAGTTTTCCAATTTAACTAAATAATACAAATTAATAAACAAATTTATGTTCCCCTTTTATTGTATTTCGATAATCTTATATTTTTAAGTGRCGGCTTTTTTGATGTCAGATAATTTCACCACAGACATATTTATCATAGACAATTTTGTAGGTCATCAAAAAATACAGTTGCCGGAAATTGAGACACGGTGCTTATTTAAACATTATACAATCAGCACCTAACATATTAGTGAATTAGGAATGTACTATAAACTATAAAAATATAATATTTACAACATACACGTCTATATTATATTATAATAATATATTTTCTGACCTCTCTGCATAATGAGGGGAACACTTTCATATTTTATGGATACAATTTTTTGCTACTGGACGAATGGGTATCAACAGTGCGTGCGTGTGTGTTGTTTAAATTAAGTGATAAAAATTAATGAAAAACGAAAACCTACCTAATAATTTAGTATTTTATGAAACAATGGAGTTTTATGATAATATACGAGTAAAAGGTATGATATTTTTCATTGGGCAACGAGAAATGATTCTTGATTTCGAAAACAAATTGTGTAAATTATCAAAGAGACAGGTTGGCATTAAATATGCATTAATATGTGATCAACATCTCGGTTTGTAGAAGCAGAGTAATGTTATCATTAAGATTTATAAACAAAAAATAATTTAAAAAAATATGGTTGCGTCATTAGTCTAATATTTCGTCAAAAGTCAGAATTTAGGGGATCTTTAAAAAAAATGAAATTTGTATAAACACGTATATTTGTAGATTTAGTRAAAATATTTATTTATATATTTTTTGAAGAAGATTATAACAGCACAGGTATGTGTARATTATTGATGATAGTGATAGGTTAGGTCATGTTATTAACTGTCCCAGAGGTGATCATAATAATAATTGTCAATTGATGGTAATATATATCACATTATTACAAGGTTTGGCAGTAACAAGTTACATATTGTAACAAATTTACGTAACCATGAGTTACATTTGTAACTTGAATGAAAGTTATTTCTTTTTTATGAACAGTTTTTTTTTATATCATAGTCCATGACTATAGGTAATATTTTTATTTATTTTCAGTTTTCATTTTTTATTAATATTATTAATAATATAAAAAAATTACAGAGATAATTATTAGAGTTAGTGCCCTAAGTGGCTAAGTGGTAAAATAAAAGTAGGGAGACTGTTTACTTTTATAATTTTATACTGGGAATATAAACATTTTGCTTATAATTTTCCTCTTACTTTGTAGTTTGCTCATAATATACATTGTACAACAATTTAAAGTTTTAAATAAATTCATGTTTTTTAGAAAAGTACTTACAGAAATTAATATGCTATTTATAATTTCAATATAAATCATGTTTATTTGTAAATGTTTCGATTTTATCGATCAATTAATAATCTTTATTCTTTCATAATATTTAAATAATGATAAAATATAATATGTAATATGKTCCTTATAATATGCAAGTAAAATTTATTAAAAACAGTAAATTAACATCTTTTAAAAAAAAATTTAAGTAACTTTTCATAATGCATTATACTTTTTTCTTCAATATTTTACTATGAAAAAGTATTGCACATGATATAATATCAATCGGTATTTTATAATGAGATTCATATTCAAATATTCAATGTACCTATAGCCAGTCTTGTAAAAAACTTGAGTAAAAGAATTAATRGTATGTTTGTTAACCCGGAACCGAAAGTTGAAAAGTGACCTTTTTTCATTCAACGGGTGGTAAAGTGGGAATCCCAAAAAGTTCCAGGTGGTAATTATTTTAAATACTTTCTTAGTAGATATCTTTACTTAAAATCAAATATTCATTTTCAATTACTTATTCTATTTTCTATTATTTAAAATAAAAATAATAAAAATAATAATATATATATTTATAAATCTGACCGTAAAATTTTAACTTCAATATTGTTTTCAGCACGTATGTTTAAGTACAACTAAATACGTTTAAAAAAAAAATTGTGTCTTAAAAAACAGAAATATACCAAAATGAGTATCTGTGTCTATGCTTGCATACTTAAAAAAATATATATATCTTAAAAGACTGAATGTTCTAAATATTTTTATATAGGTACCTATCTCAATCTCTACATATTTGTTTTGATGGAATGAATTATGATGAATTATGTGAATTACGTATAAATACTAAATAGTATACACTTACCAAGCTTATTAATGTAATGAATAGTAAAGCCAAAATCATAATGTAGTTGGATAATAATTTCATAATTATATTTTTGATTCTAAAACATATTAATAATACACTCATTGTCAAACTTCCCATATTTAATTTATACCAAAAATTCTAAAGTGTAATATATTGATTGAATGCAAGAAATAATGAACCAAAGTTAAAGTGTTCGGACGTGTATTTTAACACATCGCCATAAACGTTATAATACCTAATCGAAATACAAAACTAATATGTTATTCTTAGATGTTCGAAAGTCTCTCTTTAATACAATATATTTATACCTATTATAYTGTAAAAATACTGATAAAAATTAAAGAAAATAATTCAGACATGATAAGGAAGTATGAGGAAGAGGAATAGCGTGTTCGTTGTGTATTTGTACTATGTAGATTGTAGATAGATACTCAAAAAATATAGTTATGTTTATAAAAAATTGATATGGTTTAAAATGTATTTAACATTCCATTATATAAATACTATTACATATACATATAATGTGTGGCTTTGTACAAAAATAATTAATAACATGTATTGTTCGGGAAAATAAAATCTTAAAATATAGGTATACATGGAAAAATATATAATAATATGTCATTTATGTAAAATAAATCATATTTATTATAAACAAATTATAGTTTTATATTTTTATTAAAAAAATTGTATGTATAATATTAATAGGTATGTAAATATAGGTATTTAATAACTRCATTTTTTAATAACATAATTAAATAACCATCTACTAAGTAAACGATATTAATATATTATATTTATTTAACCGAAGTGCCTTCGCTGGTTGGTTCTTCCCTCAAGATATTCAAGCTCATTAATTATAATTTTTTTWAAAAAAACCATAATTTATGCTTATTGTACTTTTTTTTTATGTACAGAATGTATAATTTCTAGATTAAAAAAWAAAAAAAATAAAAAAAAATATTTATTTAAAATAATGTTACCATTGTTTTTTTGGGAWCCATTTCCTAATGGTAAGTAGTATTTGCATATTGTAGATATAGTTAACAATACGAATTAAGGATTACATTTAGATTTTAAAGCACAGCAACACAAATTTAATTTAAAAAAAATGTTACTACTGTGATTCCGTAAACAAGTTTAAAGTCTATATAATAAATATATTTTAATTAGTATAATAGTATCTAAATGAATATTATTTTATATAATCAATAATAAAAATCAATGATGAACTTTGGGTTGTGTTTTTTTTATACTTAAAATATCCGATAACTGATAAGATATAACGTACAGTTATATATTATACACAAATAAATGCTATATATAGGTATTTATTAGTTATTTCTTATATACCTACATGGCTACATGGGAGCCTATTGGCTATTGGTCTATAATATAAATAATATCTATATGTGTAACTGTGTGTATGTGATCTGTGTTTTTCTTATAAATTATAATATGTAAGCTCACAGTAAACGAATTAAAATATTGTCAATAATTCAATCTGTTGTATTATATTCAATCGCAAATCGGTCTATGACGCGGGAAAAAAGCATCAGCAGCTTATGCTTATCAATTAAAAATGTTTAATTACTGCATGTATGCACAGTTCAAAATATAACAGACATCATGTATATTATATAAAAAACTATACACGTGTATTTTTTTTATCTGGCGTTTGTAATAAATAATAATTAACAGCAGTGTWCAAGTTACACTACATATAAGAATATGAATTATTGGTACTTATCCCTATATAAAGTTAATCTTTTAACATGCTCTATAATTATAAACGAAAAAAGTTCGGATTAAAATTTACTATCTATATGTATTGTAAACTATATGATATACTTTATTACAGTAGACAGTATAGTTAATGAATTTCAAGATTACCTCGTTATTGAGTATAGAATAATTGTGAAGGATGTGTTATGAACGTTTTTCCAAATATTGTCGAGAAAATTAATGGGAAAATGGGAAAAGCTGAGTACCTTTATGTTGTGTTCTAACATTTTTTCCTGTTTTACATTATTGTCAAGGTTATAATTTATTATGATTATTATTATTAATTACGATTATTACTCGCTTATGGTTACCCCTTAACGATTTAAGCCTTAAGGTAAATGGGGGCCCATGTTCGAATTGTAAAATACACGTTTTTAATAAGAAAAAACATACA